CCAAATTCACATTTAAGTTCTAACCATACAGGTACCACAATTTGTTACCCCAGTAACTAAATGATTTGGGTTGTTTTCTGCTGTTCGTTTATTTTTTATTTAAATTTTTTTGAGATGGAGTCTTGCTCTGTTGCCCAGGCTGGAGTGCAGTGGCACAGTTGCAGCTCACTGCAACCTCTGCCTCCCAGGTTCAAGTGAGTCTCCCTGCTTCAGCCTCCTGAGTAGCTGTGATTACAGGCATCTGCCGCCACACCCAGCTAATTTTTGTATTTTTAGTGGAGATGGGGTTTCACCATTTTGGTCAGGCTGGTGTAACTTCTGACCTCAAGTGATCCACCTGCCTCAGACTCCCAAAGTGCTGGGATTACAGCCAAGAGTCACCATGCCTGGCCTCCTGTTTTTAACTCTTGTGCATAAAGACACTGTAAATTCATGTACAGATCTTAGAAGTTTTCATTTCTCTTGTGTAAATAAGTAGAAGGAGAGATTGTTGACTTATAAGATAAATATATGTTTAATGTCTTAAGAAACTACCAAACTCTTTTTCCAACTGGGTACTATTTTATTCCCTACCAGCAAATACATGAAATGTCCATTACTTTTTCTCTTGTAATATTTTGGTATTTTCTTTTCTTTTCTTTCTTTCTTCTGTCTCACTCTGTTGCCCAGGCTGGAGTGCAGTGGTGTTATCTTGGCTCACTGCAACCCCTTCTACTCCCGGGTTCAAGTGATTCTCCTGCCTCAGCCTTCCAAGTAGCTGAGACTACGGGTGCATGCCACCATGCCCGGCTAACCAGCTAATTTTTCATATTTTTAGTAGAGATGGGGTTTCACCATGTTAGCCAGGATGGTCTCAATCTCCTGACCTCATGATCCACCCTCCTTGGCCTCCTAAAGTGTGTGAATTACAGGCATGAGCCACCACACCTGGCCATATTTTGGTATTTTCGTGTTCTTTTGTTTTTTGTTTTTCAAAATTAGGTGCATTGTTGTATCTTGTGGTTTTAATTTGTACTTGCCTAACAGCTAATGATGTTGAGCATCTTTTCATACACTTGTTTGCCATTTATGTCTCAAATTTTTGGCCAAATTTATATTTTACTCTTTGCCTACTATATATATATATATAGAGAGAGATAGAGATGAAGTCATTCTCTTTTGAGCAGGCTGGATGCAGTGGCACAATCTCTGCTCACTGTGACCTCTGCCTCCCAGGTTTGAGCGATTCTCTGGCCTCCTGAGTAGTTCAACTATAGCCATATGCCACCATGTCCGGCTAATTTTTGTATTTTAAGTAGATATGGAGTTTAACCATGTTTTCTGGGCTGATCTTGAACTCCTGACCTCAGGTGATTCACCCACCTTGGTCTCCCAAAGTGCTGAGATTATAATCATGAGCCACCATACCCAGCCGGAATAAGCAATCTTAAAAAGCACTTTGTTGATTTCTGGCAAATAGTGAAAGTGTGACAAACTATGACTCATCACTTTTATTTCTTAAGCATATATCTTAAACTGGCAGGTATGCATTAGGGTACTGGTATAAGAAGGTTACAGCATTTTGTCGGGCGCAGTGGCTCTCACTTGTAATCCCAGCACTTTGGGAGGCCAAAGTGGGTGGATCACGAGGTCAAGAGATCAAGACCATCCTGGTCAACATGGTGAAACCCCGTCTCTACTAAAAATACAAAAAATTAGCTGGGCATGGTGGCGTGTGCCTGTTGTCCCAGCTACTCGGGAGGCTGAGGCAGGAGAATTGCCTGAACCCAGGAGGCAGAGGTTGTGGTGAGCAGAGGTTGTGGTGAGCTGAGATTGCACCATTGCACTCCAGCCTGGGTAACAATAGTGAAACTCTGTTCCAAAAAAAAGGAAGGTTACAGCATTGTTCGAAATACTGAAAAACTGGAAACAATCTCAGTATCTTTTAATAATCGAAAAAATGGTTGAGGCTGCGTGTGGCGGCTCATGCTTGTAATCCCAGCAACCGGCCAAGGCAGGAGGATCACCTGAGGTTGGGAGTTTGAGTCCAGCCTGGCCAACATGGTGAAACCCTGTCTCTCCTAAAAATACAAAAATTAGGCAGGTGTGGTGGCAGACACCTATTGTAATCCCAGCTACTCTGGAGGCTAAGGTACAAGAATCACTTGAGCCTGGGAAGTGGAGGTTGCCGGTGAGCTGAGATCATGCCGCTGCACTCCAGCCTGGGCAATAGAGTAAGACTGTCTCCAAAAAAAGAAAATAAGACATAGTTGAATAAATTATAAATCACTGAATGATACAGGTTACTGTAGCGAAGTCAAAATGAATGAAGTAGATCTATATATAGCAGCATAGCTAGATCTCAAAAGAAATGTAAATTTTAAAAAATCACACTAATTTAGATAAGGACGATAAAAACGTACTAGAAAGATATGCACTGAATTTTTTTATTTTTTTTTATTTTTTGAGATGGAGTGCAGTGGCACAATCTCAGCTCACTGCAACCTCCACCTCCTGGGTTCAAGCGATTCTCCTGCCTTAGCCTCCCGAGCAGCTGGGACTGCAGGTGCGTGCCACCACACCTGGCTAATTTTTGTATTTTTAGTAGAGTTGGGGTTTCACCATGTTGGCCAGGATGGTCTCTATCTCTTGACCTTGTAATCTGCCCGCCTCGGCCTCCCAAAGTGCTGGGATTGCAGGCATGAGCCACTGCACCTGGCCATGCACTGAATTCTTGGTAGACGTTTTTTAGAAGAGGAGGAGCATGGGATTGGGAATAGGCACTAAAAAAGGAACTTACGGTTTTATCTGTTACAGTTTACTCACCTTGTTTTTAAAATTTTAAACCAAATATGACATTGTTATCACTATTTTTGCCAGTCAGTACAAATGCTATTATACTGTTTTCTGTAATTTTCCCTTTTTCCAATTAAAAACAGTAAAAATACATGTAAATAGGTATTTTATTTGTGGAAAACAGGAAGGTGAGCATCCAAATAATTTTAGTTAATTTATAACAAACTCTTAATAATTTATTTTTCTTCCTTTTTTTTTTTTTTTTTTTTTTTGAGACAGGGTCTTGCTTTGTTGCTCAGGTTAAAATGCACTGGTGCAATCACTTCAGCCTTCACCTCTCCAGCTCAAGTGATCTCTCTTCTCAGTCTCCCAGGTAGATGGGACCACAGACGTGCACCCCTTAATCCTGGTTAATTTTTTAATTTTTTGGTGGAGATAAAATCTCACCATGTTGCCCAAGCTGGTCTTGAGCTGCTGGTCTCAAGCAGTCCTCCTGCCTTGGCCTCCCAAAGTGCTGGGATTACAGGCATGGGCCAACAGTGCCCGATCTTCATAAACTTTTCTTTGCATGTCATTATCAAGTACTTATTGAGCACCTACTCTGAATCAGGCACAGTATGAAATACTGATAATTCTGTAATAAGTAAGAAATTCCCCTGTTAAAGGGGTGAATCTAGTTAGTGATTTATTTTCGGGATAAAGAAACAGAAGAATGTGATAGGTAGTACATACTCTTAAGGAGACAGCATTTCTTAGTCGTTTTGTGTGGTGTTTATAATATGACTTCATCTGTTTTATCAAGAGTCATCATATTATATTGAATTTGAAATTTTAAGTAATAGTAAGGAATGGCATGGAAATTTTTGTTTGACATGAGGCCAGGTGTGGTCGCTCAAGCTTGTAATCCTAGCACTTTGGGAGGCCAAGGTGCTAGGAGTTCAAGACCAGCCTGGGCAACAGGTAAGACTCTATCTCTACCAAAAAAAAAACCCCCAAAATTAACTAAATGTGGTGGCATATGCCTGTAGTCTTAGCTACTTGGGAGACCGAGGGAAGAGGATCAATCACTTGAGCCAAGGAGTTGAAGGGTGCAGTGAGCTAGGATTGTGCCCCTGCACTCCAGTGTGGGTGACAGCAAGACTCTGTTTAAAAAAAAACAAAGCTGGGTGAAGTGGCTCACACCTGTAATCTGAGCACTTTGAGAGGCCAGGATGGGTAGAATACCCGAGGTCAGGAATTCAAGATCAGCCTGGCCAACATAGTGAATACCCTGTCTGTACTAAAAATACAAAAATTAGCTGGGTGTGGTGGTGCACATCTGTAATCTCAGCTACTTTGGAGGCTGCAACACGAGAATTGCTTGAACCTGGGAGGCGGAGCAGTGAGCAGAGAGAGTACCACTGCACTCCAGCCTGGGTGACAGAGCGAGATTCTGTCTCAAAAAAAAAAAAAAAAAAAACAGACTAAGAAATTAATTTGCATTCAGACAAATGGTCAAAAGTAATAGAAAAGCTAGTAATAAATTTGCATTCAGACAAATGGTCAAAAATGATAGAAATAAAACAAAAAATTTTCAAATACAATGTGATTTGAGTATAACGATTACAGAAGTTGTTCTATATACTTTTTGATTATGCTGAGTTTTTAGATTCTTTTAAAGCTTAACTTGCATTAGGAATTAAATGTTTTAAACTAGTTGCTTAGTTCAAAGAAAATAGAAATGTGTTGCTAAATGCTACATGTGTAATCTAATATACCAGTTCTCATGATGCAATCAATTGTTAAATAAAAACTCTAGAGAGGAGGCACCTAACAATGAACACATTATATCAGATTTGAATATGAGATGGAACACTGCTTTTTGTTTTGTTGTTACTGAAATCATATTTGTATTTTTCAAAAGTATATATACTTAAAAATTCCTAAATAAAATGTCTTTAATACAGCATTTTAGTGGTTATAAGGATCAATACTATGAGATAAGAAAAAAAGGACCCACGGCCCTAAAATGTTGATAAACATTGTGACCATATTCCCCATCCTGGAGCCATTGTAATACACACATTACTATGAGAAAAGTACTAAGAAGTTATGTAGTAATGTTTCTCAGACTTACTTGTTTACAACCCTATTTTTTATGTATTATCTATCAACAGCATGCTTTGCAGTGTTTAGTGTACTCTTCATATTCATGATCTATACAAATAATTATTTTTATTTTAAAGCAGGACAGAAGGAACAAGCTGTGGAATGGTATAAGAAGGGTATTGAAGAACTGGAAAAAGGAATAGCTGTCATAGTTACAGGACAAGGTAAGATTATATTTGTTTGACTGGGCGTGGTGGCTCATGCCTGTAATCCAAGCACTTTGGAGGCCAAGGCAGGCAGATCACCTGAGGTTGGGAGTTCAAGACTAGCCTGACCAACATGGTGAACCCTCGTCTTTAAATTAAAAAAAAAAAAAAAAAGAGATTATTTGTTGATAGCCATCCCAAATTATAATATATTCACATAATTGTCCAGATTTCAGATCTCTTTATTTATTTCTTCCTTTCCTTTCCTTTCCCTTCCCCTTCCCCTCCCTTCCTTCCTTTCTTCCTTTCCTTCCTTTCTTCCTCCCTTCCCTCCCCTCCCCCCTCCCCCTTCCTCTTCCCCTTCATTTTCCCCTTCCCCTTTCCCTTCCTTCCTTCCTTTCTTTTTTTTTTCTTTTTTTTTTTTGAGACAGGGTCTTGCCTTTGTTACCCAGGCTGGAGTGCAGTGATATGATCATAGCTCACTGCAACCTCAAACTTCTGGGCTCTAGTGATCCTTCTGCCTGTGCTTCCCAAGTAGCTTGAACCACAGGTGCACACTACCACACTTAGCTAATTATTATTATTTTTTGAGATGGAGTCTCACTCTGTTGCCCAGGCTGGAGTTCAGTGGTGCAATCTCAGCTCACTGCAATCTCTGCTTCCCAGATTCAGGCAGTTCTCCTGCCTGAGCCTCCCGAGTAGCTGGGATTACAGGCGCATTGTACTGCGCCAGCTACTTTTTGTATTTTTAGTGGAGATGGGGTTTTGCCATGTTGGCCAGGCTGGTCTCAAACTCCTGACCTCAAGTGATCCTCCCACCTTGGCTTCGCAAAGTGCTGGGATTACAGGTGTGAGCCACCGTGCCTGGCCACACTTAGCTAATTAAAAAAAAATTTTTTTTTATAGAGATGGGGGTCTCACTATTTTTCTAGGGCTGTTCTCAAACTTCTGGCCTCAAGTGATCTTTCTGCCTCAGCTTTCCAAAGTGCTGGGATTACAGGCATGAGCCACTGCACCCAGCCAGATTGTATTTATCTTAATAAAAGTATTTGTAAATTTTTTAATGTTATTGTTAACATTTGTAGACTTACAGTTAATTCATTATTACCTATTCTAAAAATGAAGTTATAGTCAGATATGCTCAAACTTGATTACTTCTAGCATTAGGCAAAAACTAGTATATTATTTGTGTCCTCGTTGGTGTCACTGTTGGTGTTTAGTCACCATGCGCTATTTTTGAAATCTGTCCCTTTCCTCATTGTCAAGGAGGGAAAGAGTGGTTAATCCACAGATTTCCTTTGCACTTGTAAGTAATGCTTCTTGACTGCATTTTAGACTCTTGAGCTGTAAATGTCTTATTTTGATTCACACTGGGTTTTTAAATTTGTTTTTTGTTTTTTCAATAGAAAAAGGGTCTTGCTATGTTGACCAGGCTGGTCTTGAACCCCTTGCCTCAAGTGATCCTCCCACAGTACTGGGGTTACAGGCGTGAGCCACTGCACCTGAACTCACTCTTGGCTTTTTTTTTTTGAGACAGAGTCTTGCTCTGTCACCCAGGCTGGAGTATAGTAGTGTGATCTTGGCTCATTGCAGCGTCTGCCTCCTGGATTCAAGAAAATCTCCTGCCTCAGCCTCCCAACTAGCTGGGATTACAGGTGTGCACCATCACGCCTAGCTAAATTTTTTGTATTTTCAGTAGAGACGGGGTTTTACTATGTTGGCCAATCTGGTTTCAAAGTCATCCACCTGCCTCACAGCCTCCCAAAGTGTTGGGATTACAGGCGTTAGCCACTGCAACTGGCAAATTCTTCGTTTATTTTAAAACCAAAGCAGTCATTACTCATTTCTATTTTCCTATCACCTCAAATTAAAAATTAGAGTCTAATATTGTCTTTAAATATATTGGCCAGGCACAATGACTCAGGCCTGTAATCCCAGTGCTGTGGGAGGCCTAGGCAGGAGGATTGCTTGAGACTAGGAATTCAAGACCAGCCTGGGCAATAGAGCAAGATCTCCATCTCAACAACAACAATAAATTTATATGTGTGTGTATATATATATAATATAAAACATTTATTGTACACTTCCTGTATGCCTAAGCATCATTGTAATTGCTTCATATGTAGTATTTCTTTTCATTTTCGCTACCACCCCATGCTCTGTAGTTGCTGTTGTTATCCTTATTTTTCAGCTGAATAACCTGAAATACAGAGAAATTAAGGAATTTACCTAAAGTCTCATAGCTAGCAAGTATAGAGTTAGGATTTGAGCTGAGGCAGCCTGACTTCAGAACCTATTGTGAAGTATGTAAGACTATTAAATAAGTAAAGTACTCCAGCTTATAGTTGAAATATATTCAGGCCAGGCGCGGTGGCTCATGCCTGTAATCCCAGCACTTTGGGAGGCTGAGGTAGGCAAATCATCGGAGGTCAGGAGTTCGAGATCAACCTGATCAACATGGAGAAACCCCATCTCTACTAACAAAATACATTAGCCAGGCATGGTGACACATGCCTGTAATCCCAGCTACTCAGGAGGCTGAAGGCAGGAGAATCGCTTCAACCTTGTGGGGTGGAGGTTGCGGTGAGCCACTATCGCACCATTGCACTCCAGCTTGGGCAGCAAGAGCAAAACTCTGTCTCAAAAAAAAAAAAAAGAAATATATTCAGAATTAGAAATTACAGTATTTAGGCTATAAATCAATTCATCCAGTAGATGTCTGTTGGCTGGCTGGCTGACTTTACTACTTATATCAACTAATCTCCAATAATTACAATATGTCCAACCCTGCTTTTTTCCTCTCCTCTTTATATTTTGATTATTTCTCTAGCTACTGTTGTGTATAAAAGAAAGCAGAATAGAACAGGTAAACATAGGAAGTTGGACCTTTGAGACTACGATGAGCATGACTTTATCAATTTTATGCAAAATATATTTGCTGTTTCAAGTTACATGGAAGAAAAGTTAGGAAAAAATGAATTGTTTTTAAGTAGGGCTGAGCACAGTGGCTCCCGCCTATAATCCTAACACTTTGAGAGGCTGAGGCAGGTGGATTGCTTCAGACCAGGAGTTCAAGATCAGCCTGAGAAGCATGGCAGTACCATCTCTACAAAAATAAAAAAATTAGCCCTGCATGCTGGCATGTGCCTGTAAGTTCTAGCTGCTTGGTGGGGCTAAGGCGGGAGGATTGTTTGAGCCTGGAAGGTTGAGGCTGCAGTGAGCGGTATCATGCCATTGTACTCCAGCCTAGGTAACAAAGTAAGACCATGTCTCCTAGGAAAGAAAGCCAGGCATGGTGGCTCACGACTGTAATCTGAGCACTTTGGGAGGCCTAGGCTAGTGGATCACCTGAGGTCAGGAGTTCAAGACCAGCCTAACTAACATGGTGAAACCCCATCTCTACTAAAAATACAAAAATTAGCTGGGCATGGTGGTACCTGCCTGTAATCCCAGCTACTCAGGAGGCTGAGGCAGGAGAGTTGCTTGAACATGGGAGGTGGAGATTGCAGTGAACGAGGTTGCGCCATTGCACTCCAGCCTGGGCAACAAGAGTTAAACTCCATCTCAAAAAAAAAAGAAAATAAGTATTTCATTGAATTAAAAATGCCTTGTATTATACCACTAAGAGAAAAAACAGTTAATCAAAGTATGATACATGTTCTTTTCATCACTTAGAATTTGCATTTTAATCTTATTGAAGAGGCTGTTTTAGTCTTATTTAGACATAGATACAACAACAATAGCCGTGCGTGGTGGCTCACGCCTGTTATCCCAGCACTTTGGGAGGACGAGGCATGTAGATCACGAGGTCAAGAAATCGAGACCATCCTGGCCAACGCGGTAAAACCCCGTCTCTACTAAAAATACAAAAATACAAAAATTAGCCGGGTGTGGTGGCACGCGCCTGTAGTCCCAGCTTCTCGGGAAGCTGAGGCGGAAGAATCACTTGAACCCAGGAGGCGGAGGTTGCAGTGAGCTGAGATTGCGCCACTGCACTCCAGCCTGGTGACAGAGCAAGACTCCGTCTCAAAAAAAAAAAAAAAAAAAAAATACAAAAATTAGCCAGGCATTTGGCATGTGCCTGTATTCCCAACTACTTGGGAGACAGGCGGAAGAATCACTCGAACCCGGGAGGCGGAGGTTGCAGTAAGCTGAGACTGCCTACTGTGCTCCAGCCTGGCGGCAGAGCAAGACTCTATCTCAAAACAACAACAACAATATTAATATCTGTGACCAAATTTGTGCATGCGTGGGCAATGAAAAGCCTATGTTATGACCTCAGCCTGTTGGATAGCATTAGTAAGTTAACATTGGTTGTAAAACAAATCCCAATTTCAAATATTTTAAAATGTGGGAAAAAAAAGTTTTAGACTCTATGAAATAGAACTGAAATCTATGAAATACCACAGTAGGTTGGAAGCCATCATGAGAAACTGTAACTAATTTTTTTTTGTGTGGCTGTTATATATATTTTTTGAGACAGGGGCTCAGCCTATTGCCCAGGCTGGAGTGCTGTGATGTGGTCACCTCTCACTGCAACATCCACCTCCTGGGCTGAAGTGATCCTCCCACCTCAACCTCCTAGGCTCGGCTAATCTTTTTTTTTTTTTTTTTAAGTAGAGACTAGGTCTGATTATGTTGTCTAGGTGCCCAGACTGGTCTTGAACTCCTGAGCAGAAGTGATCCTCCTGCTTCAGCTGCCCAAAGTGCCGGGGTTACAGAAGTGAGCCACAACACCTGGCCTGAAGATAATATTTTTTAAATGTCTTCTTTTTCTTTCTTTTGGGTACATATTTTATTTTATTTTTTTAAATTTCTATATAGAGACTGTGACTCTCCATGAATGTAGTTGGGGTGATAATTTTTCTTGAAATAATATTAGTTGGGAAATGTAGATATTTTAATTAATTCTTTTTTTCTTTCAGGTGAACAGTGTGAAAGAGCTAGACGCCTTCAAGCTAAAATGATGACTAATTTGGTTATGGCCAAGGACCGATTACAACTTCTAGGTATCAATTAATGTGTAATTTGATGTGAGATATATTGGAAATGTATATTCAATGAAACTTTAATTGTAGAAGGAAATAGATCAGTGATTGAAAATGTGGTCCAGACTTTTTAATGTAAAGAAAATGTGTAACATATACAAAAAACAGAAGAGCATAATGAACTTCTAATTATTCATCTCTCAGCTTTGATAATTATCACCTCACTGTCGGTTTTGATTTATTTATAGCAAGGGCTGGCAAACCGTAGCTGATGGGCCAACCCAGCTCACTGCCTATTATTATAAATAAGGTTTCATTGGCACACAGCCATTCCTTTCTTTAGGTATTATCAATGGCTTTCATGCTACAATGACAGAATTGAATAGTTGATACAGAGACTACACTGCCCTTAAAACCTAAAATATTTACTGTCTGGCCCTTTACAGAAGTCTGCTTTTCACTTGACATCCCAACTCACCGTCCCGCGACTTAATATTATTTTGAAACGAATGCTTGACTTTTTAAATTTATAAATATTTCATTTTATACCTCTAAAAGATAAGGACTCTCTAAAATAAAATCACTGAAATACCATTATCACACCTAAAAAGTAATCCCAAATTTCTTTTTTTTTTTTTGAGACGGAGTTTTGCTCTTGTTACCCAGGCTGGAGTGCAATGGCGCAATCTTGGCTCACCGCAACCTCCACCTCCTGGGTTCAGGCAATTCTCCTGCCTCAGCCTCCTGAGTAGCTGGGATTACAGGCATGCGCCACCATGCCCAGCTAATTTTTTGCATTTTTAGTAGAGATGGGGTTTCACTATGTTGACCAGGATGGTCTTGATATCTTGACCTTGTGATCCACCCGCCTCGGCCTCCCAAAGTGCTGGGATTACAGGCTTGAGCCACCGCACCCGGCCCCAAATTTCTTTTAACATTATCCAAAAAACTCATCCCTCGAAAACGCTGTTTCTGTATTTCTAATTTTCTCAAAATGTAGTAATTTTTTACTGTTTTTAATCATTTGTTTGAATCACGAGCTTTAAAAGATCCATATATTATGTCTGTTTTAATGTACAGGTGCATCTGTTCTTCATTTTCTTCCAATTTATTTGTTGATGAAACCAGGTCTTCGTTATGTAGTATTTCCTACAGTCTTTTGTGATGTGAATCTTTGGTGGTAACTTTTAGCATGTTCTTCTTTCCTCAGAGCCTTGATCACAATGAAAGTTGATTTTTATTTTTTAATAAGACCTACTTCCTAGGTGGTTGTGTTTGTGTGTGTTCATCATTAGTTATTCCATCTTGCGAAGTTAGCAGCAGTTAACTATGACTGATGCCCAGTGATATTTTAATTCTATCATTCTTTCAGCATTTATTAACTGTAATAGAAGTTTTTCCTTGTCTTCTGTTTGATGGTGTAGATTTTAAAAATACATTATTAAGTGAAATCTACTACTCAAAAGCAGAACAAAACCCACTACATGAGTGGCTCTACCATATGTTGGTGGATAGAAATAGTAGATATTTGGTAAGCAGGCAAACCTTGTTTATTTGTAGCCCTGTGACTTGGGGTAAGTTATTTTGCATGTCTGAGTCTTTTTTATCTAATTTGTAATATGAAGATAATATTATTTTATTATTTTTATTTTTTGAGACAGAGGGGCTCACTCTGTCACCCAAGTTGAAGTTAAGTGGGGTGATCTCAGCTCACTGCAACCTCCACCTTTCAGAGTAAGCAATTGCCCTGCCTCAGCCTCCCGAGTAACTAGGACTACAGTCATGAACCACCATACCTGGCTAATTCTGTGTAAATTTTTGAGATGGAGTTTCGCTCTTGTTACCCAGGCTGGAGTGCAATGACGCGATCTCGGCTCACTACAATCTCTACCTCCTGGGTTCAGGCAATTCTCCTGCCTCAGCCTCCTGAGTAGCTTGGATTACAGGCACGCGCCACCATGCCCAGCTAATTTTTTGTATTTTTAGTAGAGACGGGGTTTCACCATGTTGGTCTCGATCTCTTGACCTCATGATCCACCCGCCTCGGCCTCCCAAAGTGCTGGGATTACAGGCGTGAGCCACCGTGCCCGGCAGTTCTGTTTATTTTTAGCAGAGACGGTTTCACTGTGTTAGCCAGGATGGTCTCGAACTTCTGACCTCGTGATCTGCCCACCTCGGCCTCCCAAAGTTCTGGGATTAACAGGTTTGAGTCACTGCACTCAGCCTTATTATTATTGTTATTATTTTTTGAGACAGAGTCTTTCTGTCTTGCCCAGCCTGCAGTGCAGTGGCGTGATCTCAGCTCAGTGCAACCTCATGTTTTATCTTTAAAGCTTTTCAGTGTATATATAAAGTATTATACAGATCATACAGAATAAATTTGATTATGGAGCATTTTGTAACATCTTTCAAAGTGACTAAGAATTGATTTTTATGTTTTGTTTGAAGTTATATAGGACATTAGAAGTATTAATATCTTGTTTCTCAGCCTTTTGGATAAGATCAAGTGTAGAATTATTAATATCTCATCAATTAGAGACTTCTTTTTGAGTGTGACTTTTACTTTCTTATTTGTGTTAGTGGACTAGAGAACCAAAAGATGATATGTAATGTAATATGAAGCTAGTCATTTAAAGATTTAATATTTTGGATATTTTCAAGTTGGTGTCTATTTTCACCCTCAAAAATGCTATGTGCCTGTTTATGAAAGATGTTACTTTAAAAGTGAGGAGTGTCAACTACTCAGGAGGCTGAAGCAGGAGGATAACTTGAGCCCAAGGGGTTGAGGGTTACAGTGAGCCATGATGGCACCATTGTACTCCAGCTTGGGTGACAGAGCAAGACTAAGACCAACAATAATCTCCATGGTACTCTCCCAATAGTGATTTATTTGGACATACTAGATATTCAGTAAATATTTTCTGTTGATGATAGTGATATCTAACTGCCTCAGGTTACCTAACTGAATAGGCATATTTAGAACATAGCCATTCACTTGTTAATTTCTGCTATTTTTATGACTGAGTTTTTACTAATTGTATTTTAAAAGATAATTTTATGTAAATGCAAAAACTTTTTATCATATAACAATCTGATAACACCTTGAGTAATTTTTCATTTCACATGCACATTTTATTTGTTCATTATCTTTTTTTCTTTTTGCTTATTTTTTCTTTGTTTTTTACTCCCTCTGTTGCATAGAGAAGATGCAACCAGTTTTGCCATTTTCCAAGTCACAAACGGATGTCTATAATGACAATACTAACTTGGCATGCCGCAATGGACATCTCCAGTCAGGTGGGTTTAGGTTAACTAACATAAAATAATAAAGCTTGCATGCAAAGTAGAGTTTCACTTAACCTGATAATGTTGATTTGATTTTATAATGGTAGATTTAATTGTTCATGCTTTTTCAGGGCTATGTAGAAAATATAGTACCCCTATCATTCATAGTATATAAATATGTAACAAATCAGGTATAGTCATTCTAACATGCTTTATTTGCATATTTTGCGACCTCTAATTTTTCAGATTATAAAATACGAAGGCATACATTCCCATAAGTGATTAAAATATTCTTTTGTTTCTTTTGTGGCTTTTGTGCTTTTATATGGATAGCTATACTAATTTTTTAATGAAATAGTGTTTTCTAAGACACATTTTAGGGCTGAGCGCGGTGGCTCACGCCTGTAATCCCAGCACTTTGGGAAGCTGAGGCGGGTGGATCACGAGGTCAAGGATCGAGACCACCCTGGTCAACATGGTGAAACCCCATCTCTACTAAAAATACAAAAAATTAGCTGGGCATGGTGGTGTGTGCCTGTAATCCCAGCTACTCAGGAGGCAGAGGCAGGAGAATTGCCTGAACCCAGAAGGAGGAGGTTGCGGTGAGCCAAGATCACGCCATTTTACTCCAGCCTGGGTAACAAGAGCGAAACTCCCGTCTAAAAAAAAAAAAAAAAAGACATATTTTAATTTTTTATGTATCAATTTTTATTGCATATCAGTATTCACATATACTATATGTGAATGTTTTTGAGTACTTGGTAGAAGAAATTTGAAGCTTCACATAATGAGGAGAAATACTGCAAGATTATTTACTATGGACTAACTCTGTCCTTGATAAATTTTGGATATCAGCTTCTACAGAAGATTAAACATCTTTCTGTTTTGTTTTCTTTGGGTGGCAGACACTCCATTTCTTAGGTTCTCTGACATCCGAGCTAGTTTTTTATTAAAACGTTTTGGGGTGATGTATGCAGCAAACCACCATAGCATGTGTAGACCTATGTAACAAACCTGCACATTCTGCACATGTATCCCAGAACTTAAAGTATAAAAATAATAAAAACTTTTTTTCAGTTGACAGATAATGTACATGTTCATGGGGTACACAGTGATGTTTTGATACATATAATATATAGTGATTAGATCAAGGTAATTATCATATCTATCACTCCAAACATTTATTATTCTTTGTGTTGGAAATATTCAGTATTTTCTTTCCAGCTATTTGAAATGATATACTGTTACCCATAGTCATCCTGCAGTCATATACTACACTAGAACTTATTCTTCCTGTGTAGCTATACTTTTGCATCCATTAATAAATTCCATCCTATTCCTTCTTCCCTTTTGCCTACCCTTCTCAGCCTCTAGTATCCTCTGTTCTACTTTTGTTTTTTTTTTTTTTTTAGATGGAATGTCACTCTGTCACCCAGGCTGGACCACAGGCATCTGCCACCATGCTTGGCTAATTTTTGTATTTTTAGTAGAGATGGGGTTTCACCATATTGATCAGGCTGGTCTTGAACTCCTGACTTTGTGATCTGTCTTGGCCTCCCAAAGTGCTGGGATTACAGGCCTGAGCCACTGTGCGCTGGGATGTTCTACTTTTTATTTCTATGAGATTAACCTTTTAAAAATAATATTCTGTGTGCATATATACAACATTTTCTTTATTCATTCATCTGTTCTTGGACACCTAGGTCGATTCCGTATATTGGCTGTTGTGAATAGTGCTGCAGTAAACATGGGGATAGATGTCTCTTCAATATAGTGGTTTTCTTTGCTTTGGATAAGTTCCCAATAGTGGGATTGCTGGGTCATATGGTAGTTCTATTTGTATTTTTTTGAGGAACCTCTATACTCTTCTTCATAGTAGCTTTACTAGTTTAGATTCCTAAAAGTAGTGTATAAGAGTTCACTTTCTCCACATCCTCACCAGCATTTGGTACTTTTTTTGTCTTTTTGATAATAGCCATCCTAACTGGGGTTAAGATACCTTGTTGTGGTTTTGATTTGCATTTCTCTGATAATTAATGATATTGAGCATTTTTTCATATATTTGTTTGTGACAGTCCAGCTAGGTTTATTGGTGATTTTTTTTTTAAGCAATAGTTTCATGTGCAGGGCTTAAATTATATTAAATATTACTTTGTTCAGATTATAGCAGAACAACCTTAGGTTAGGCTATAAAACAACTGTCTTTTTTATTCATATGTGATACAAAACTTATAAGGTTTTACTAGAGAAGACATAAAGTAAAAGGATTTCTATGGACAGAAGAAATAGTTGGTCATCAACTCTTTCCCTTGTGACTTCACGCCTCCCTTAAGGACTTCTAATGTTGGTTTGGTCTTAAAGTATAGTTAGTGGCAATTTTCCTCTTCCCATTCCTTCCTATGTCTGATTTAAAATGCCATTTCAAGCACAGATATAAGTATTTTGCCTGTTTCTTCTAGCATGACTGTGAAGACTGACATTTTCAGAAGGCACTTACTGGAAAAAAAAAAAAAAAAAAGAAATGTAAGAATACATCACATAGAAAGTTTCTAAAATATATAGTTGAGATCCTAACAATTCTACTAGGATAAATAGAAAAATTCTCTAGCCCTGAAGAGTTGGTTCTGTCTTTCCTTTCCTTGTTACCTTGATTCTCTTCTACTTCATTTCACATTCTAGACCCCATCATGTTTTTCTGCTGTGTACCCCATTCTGCCCTCCAAAGCAACATTCCCTTCCTGGGACCTGTTTGAAAAAAATTGAAATTTGTCTTATTTCATATCCCTAGTACAAGTTGAATATCCCTATTATGAAACCTGAAATCCGAAATGCTCCAATATTTAAAACATTTTTTCTTTTTTTGAGATGGAATCTTCTTCTGTCACTCAGGCTGGGGTGCAGTGGCGCAATCTCAGCTCACTGCAACCTCCGAAGCCCCCTGCCCGCCCCTGTGGGTTCAAGCGATTCTCCCACTTCAGCCTCTTGAGTGTCTTGGACTACAGGCACCTGCCACCACACGCGACTAATTTTTTATATTTTTAGTAGAGAGAAGGTTTTACCATGTTGGTCAGGCTGGTCTCAAACTCCTGACCTCAAGTGATCCACCCGCCCTGCCTCCCAAAGTGTTGTGATTACAGACATCAACCATGCCTGGCCAAAAATCCAAAACTTTTTGAGCTCTGACATGATGCTCAAAGGAAATACTCGTTGGAGTATTCTGAATTTTGGATTTTTGGGTTAAGGATGCTGAATCAATAAGTATAATGCAAACATTGCAAAATCCAAACAAATTTAAAAACCCTACACAGTTCTGGTCCCAAGCATTTCGGATAAGGGATATTCAACCCATAAGCTGTTCTTTTCTGTTTTCCAGTTGGTAAGGCATATTGGCTTTATAGCTAAATTTACACAGCATTGATGTTTGATACACAATGAATCCAGGTAGATCACTCAGACTATTAATAGTTTATTACTGTTGTTCACTTCTGGAACATTCTTGATGTGAAACCTTGGATGAGCTCTGTCACCTCTCTTAGGAAATAGTCATACCAAAGTCTAGTTATTACTACAGTGTGTTTTCTATTATACATTGTCCAATTTTCAAATCAAAATTAATATAGACAGGCAAAGAAAAAGTAAAGTATAACCCTTATTCACACATATATAAAAGCAATCAGTAGAAACTATGAATGGGCCCAGATGTTGGATTTAGCAAAGACTTCAAAGCAGCTATTATTAAATGTTTAAAGAATTGAAAGAAAATATGGCATCAACTATCAAACAGGAAATCAAAGTCGCTGATATAAACTGGACAATAAAAATAATATTCTAAATTTGAAAAGTGTAGTTACTGAAATTAAAAATTTACAGACAGCCTCAAGAGCAGAATAGACATAGCAAAAGAAAGATTCAATGACTTTGAACCCAGCTCCTTAGAAATTACTAAATTTGTGACTCCTGTAGGGTTAGAAAACAGATGAATGGTTTTCTGGGGCCAGGAGTGGTGAGGAAGGTAGAATACAAATGGACACAAGTAAACTTGTAGCTATGATGGAAACATTTTTTGTCTTGATTTTAATGGCTATTTGACAGTTATACACGTTTTTACAAACTCATCAAATTGTATGCTTTATTTATATATTTATTTTTTTGAGATAGGGTTTCACTTTGTCTCCAGGCTGGAATATAGCTGAAATTAGCTGGGACTATAGCGCCACCATGCCCAGCTAATTTTTGTATTTTTTGTAGAGACGGGGCTTCACCGTGTTGGCCAGGCTGGTCTCAAACTGCTGGGCCTAAGCATTTCTCCCACCTTAGCCTCCCAAAATACGGGGATTATAGGTGTGAGCCACTGTGTCTGGCTGGTATAGCTTTTTCTGGAGGTGAAGTTTCGCTCTATTGCCCAGGCTGTAGTGCAGTGGCACGATCTCAGCTCACTGCAACCTGCGTCTCCTGGGTTCAAGCAATTCTCCTGCCTCAGCTTCCTGAGTAGCTAGGATTATAGATGTATGCCATCATGCCTGGCTAATTTTTGTATTTTTTAGTAGAGATGGAAAATCACCATGTTGGCCAGGCTAGTCCGAACTCCTGACCTTGTGATCTGCCTGCCTTGGCCTCCCAAAATGCTGGGATTACAGGCGTGAGTCACCAAGCCTGGCCTTAAGTTCTTATTGACTGTAATCACCCTGTTGTGCTATCAATGATTAGGTCTTATTTATTCCAGAACCTTGTTTTAAGGTATCCTGAATATGGGTTTTTTTTTAGTTTTTTTTTTTTTTTTTTTTTTTTAGGACGGGGTTTCGCCATGTTGGTCAGGCTGATCTTGAACTCCCAACCTCAGGTGATCCGCCTGCCTTGGCCTCCAAAGTGCTTGGATTACAGGCATGAGCCACCACGCCCGGCCTCTGTTTTGCTTTTTGAGAATGAATCTCACTCTATCACCCAGGCTGGAGTGCAATGGTGTGATGTCGGCTCACTGCAACCTTCACCTCTCAGGTTCAAGCAATTCTCCTGCCTCAGCCTCCTAGGTAGCTGGGATTACAGGCACGTGCCACCATGCCCAGCTAATTTTTATATTTTTAGTACAGGCAGAGTTTCACCATGTTGGTCAGGCTGGTCTCGAACTTCTGACCTTGGGATCCGCCCACCTCAGCCTCCCAAGGTGCTGGGATTTAGTCTTTAGTTTTCTTAAACCGTATTAAGAGATTTGATTACAAAAGCAAACTTGAAGCTTTTGTCTGTTTTTTTGGCCACTCTTACTTGCTGACTGATTTATTTAACATTTGTTTTCACAGTAAACATTGTAAATAAACACTGATGTTGATGTGTAGTATACAAAAATATTTAGGAGCGGTGAGATTTAAACATTTAAAAACCTGTAATATATGTAGTAGAGCAATACTGGACAAATAACCTTTTTAACTTAATTGGAGGTGTTCTATAAATGTTCATTTACATATGTACAGTGCATATAATATTTGGCATATGTAAAAGTACATCTTCATACTCTTTCAATTAAAATTGATTATTATTCTCTTTTGAGATAGAGTCCCTCTCTGTCACCTAGGCTGGAGTGCAGTGGTGTGATCAGGGCTCACTGCAACGGATTTTTCTACCTCAACTTCCCGGCTAGCTGGAACTACAGGCATGTGCCACCATGCCTAACTAATTTTTATATTTTTAGTGGAAATGGGGTTTCACCATGTTGGCCAGACTGGTCTTGAACTCCTGACCTCAGGTGATCCACCTGTGTCAGCCTCCAAAATGCTGGGATTACAGGTATGAGCCACCACACCTGGCCTAAAGTTGATATTTTGTTTTGAGATGGCGTCCAGCTCTGTCACCCAGTCTAGAGTGCAGTGGCATAGTCTCAGCTCACTGCAACCTCCACCTCCTGGGTTCAAGAGATTCTCCTGCCTCAGCCTCGTGAGTAGCTGGGATTACAGGCACCTGCCACCACTCCCGGCTAAATCTGTGTTTTTAGTAGAGACGGAGTTTCACCATGTTGGCCAGGCTGGTCTTTAACTCCTGACCTCATGATCCGCCCACCTTGGCCTCCCAAAGTGCTGGGATTACAGGTGTGAGCCACTGCACCTGGCTAATTAATTTTTTTTCCTTTTTTTTGAACCTGAAGGAAGATCAGCTGATTAATTTTTAAGACTCTCTTGATGGGAACAGGCTTTCATGGTATTTATAGTTAAAATAGTTTTGCTATTTTTTTTCCCTCTGGGCACCCTATCCCTAATGCATTTACTACAGTTTGTTTCCTAAGTATTTGGAAGCTTTATTTGTTTCATAACTTTTTTATATCATCTTCCTGTTCCCCCAAGTGAAGTCATTTCTTCTTACAAATACTGTTTGTTTTGTTTTGTTTTTTGAGATGGAGTGTCTCTCTGTTGCCAGGCTAGAATGCAGTTGCCTGGTACAGTTCACTGCAACCTCTAACTCCCTGGTTCAAGTGATTTTCCTGCGTCAGCCTCCCGAGTAGCTGGGATTACAGGCACAAATACTGTTTTTAATAAGAAAATTAGAATAGGGACAGGCGCAATGGCTCACTCCTGTAATCCCAGTACTTTGGGAGGCCAAGGTGGGAGGATTACCTAAACCCAGGAGTTTGAGGCCAGCCTAGGCAACATAGTGACACCCTGTTTCTACAAAAAAAAATTTTTTAATTAGTCCAGTCTGGTGGTGCATGACTGTTGTTCCAGCTACTTGGAAGGTTGAGGTGGGAGGATCACTTGAGCCCAGGAAGATGAAGGCCACAGTGAGCTGTGATCATGACACTACCCTCCAGTCTGGACCACAGGTTTCAAAAAGAGAGAAAATTAAAATGTACATCAGGGGAAAAACCTAATAATCATATTCCTATCTACCCAGTGATCACCCCTATGAAGACCCTGGTACAAGTTCTCATTGAAATCTTATTTTGAAATATTTTTGAATTTAAAAATATATTATTACCTTGGTTTTACAAATGTTTGCTTGTCTTTATGTTCAGCCCCAATTTTCTAATCACAGTGGTTTTACTTTTTTCTTTCAGAAAGTGGAGCTGTTCCAAAAAGAAAAGACCCCTTAACACACACTAGTAATTCACTGCCTCGTTCAAAAACAGTTATGAAAACTGGATCTTCAGGCCTTTCAGGCCACCATAGAGCACCTAGTTGCAGTGGTTTATCCATGGTTTCTGGAGTGAAACAGGGATCTGGTCCTGCACCTGCCACTCATAAGGTATTCTGGAATAGTAACTTTAATTGCTGTGTTTTTGCAAATAGAAAAATGTTTAAGTTACTACACTTGCTTTAGTTTATTGTAGGTACTTTGTAATACTTTAGAGAATGGATACGTTTCCATAAAGTTAATTTTTAAAAAAATCCACAGGGCAACTTGCCATAAAACTTTTTTTGGGCCTCATTAGACCTTTAATATTAGGTTTTGCTTACCCAATCTGTTTTATGTAATGCTATATATTTTATTTTAAATTTAGTTTTAAAATTATTTTAATCTATGTAAATGTTTTGTAACAGTAACATACCTAGAGTTTTGTCATTATTCTAACATGGGTTAAAATTTGTTTTTATTTTGTAAAAACTAAATCTCTGGATAAAAATCCTCTGTAACTGACATTATGCCAAATATAGTTCTCTAGTGAATACAAGTTGCATCTTCAGGTAAATATACAATTTCTGGATTTTTATACCCTTTTTTTTTCTATTTTTAAAGCTTGAGTCCTGTGAACTTTAACTTATTTATGAAAAGTGTAAATATTAGGTTGTATTTTCACATTAAAATTTTGTATCCTTTAAGGGTACTCCAAAAACAAATAGGACAAATAAACCTTCTACCCCTACAACTACTGCTCGTAAGAAAAAAGACTTGAAGAATTTTAGGAATGTGGACAGCAACCTTGCTAACCTTATAATGAATGAAATTGTGGACAAGTAAGTTTTGCCATCTAAATGTTTTATTTTATACTCTTTATTTTTCAGTTTTACCTAGAAAACATGTCATAAGTGAAATAGATAATAAATACTTTGTCTGGTTTACATAATTTTTATGATAATTTTTAATTATTATAAATGTAGAAAATTATTACTGATTTAACTATAGTTTAACAGTTACATAAAATAACTGTATGTCTTAAGTCTTAGGCTTTATCTTGTAATAACTGGGTCCTATTTGTATTTTAGAACTAACTGAGGTCTTGTTTCTTAGTGGAACAGCTGTTAAATTTGATGATATAGCTGGTCAAGACTTGGCAAAGCAAGCATTGCAAGAAATCGTTATTCTTCCTTCTCTGAGGCCTGAGGTAAGAACTTTATATTATCATTTTCTATAATACCATCTATTACTGAATCCATAGTAGTAGTAGTAAAGAAATATTTGGGCTATACTATTCATATAAAGTAACAGTAGATTTAATGTTTTTAAGAAGACAAAACATTAACAATTGATGTTGAAAAGTTATAGACTAGGAAAATGGATATGAGTTCCTAATTTCCAATCCTTTTATATTTTTAGGAAAAATGGGTAATATGGTGTAATTTTGTTTTTGTATTGGAGACGGAGGCTCACTCACTGTGTCGCCCAAGCTGTAGTGCCGTGGCATGATCTTGGCTCTCTGCAACCTCTGCCTCTAGGATTCAAGCACTTCTCCTGCCTCAGCCTCCTGAGTAGCTGGGATTACAGGCATTCGCCACTATGCCTGGCTAATTTTTGTATATTTATTTATATATATACAAATTGTATAAATTGTATATATATTGTATAAATAATATATAATATTATAAACAATATATATAATATATACTATAAACATATATAATATATACCAAAACATATAAATTATATATTATATATAAATATCTATTTTATATATAAATATTTATATATAAATATCTATATTTGTAGAGATGGGGTTTCACTACATTGGTCAGGCTCGTCTTGAACACCTGACTTCAAGTGATCCACTGTCTCGGTCTCCCGAAGTGTTGAAATTGCAAGAGTGAGGCACTATATCCAGCCAAATATTGATACCAAGGTGAGAGAGATTTAAAATTAAGAGGAAGTACAAAAATTAGCCTAGCGTGGTGGCGCACACTTGTAGTCCCAGCTACTGGGGAGGCTGAGGCAGGAGAATCTCTTGAACCAGGAGGTGGAGGTTGCAGTGAGCCAAGATGGCACCACTGTACTCCAGCCTGGTTGGTGGAGCGAGACTCTATCTCAAAAATAAAAATAAAAGTAAATAAAATTAAGAGAAGGAAATGAGGGAGGTAGTACCCCCTGACACAATGAGTTTTCCCAGAGTTGGATTGCTTGGGAATGCAGCCCAAAGTGTGTGGTAAACTCCATCTAAGGCTAAATACCAGTGTGAGACTGATAAGAAGTACTTTATGGGAAAGTTTTTCTAAGATTATTTTAAAAAAGAAATTGTACTGGAGAAAAGAGGAATTAAGGCAGAATAATTCTTTATAAGTTTGAAGAACATTTTTTCTTTTTGAGACAGAGTTTTGTTCTTGTTGCCCATGCTGGAGTAGTACAATGGTGCAGTCTTGGCTCATTGCAACCTCTTCCTTCTGGGTTCAAGTGATTCTCATGCCTCAGGCTCCCAAGTAGCTGGGACTACAGGCGTGTACCCCCACACCCAGCTAATTTTTGTATTTTTAGTAGAGAAAGGGTTTCACTATGTTGGTCAAACTGGTCTCAAACTTCTAGCCTCAGGTTATCTGCCTGCCTTGGCCTCTCAAAGTGCTGGGATTACAGGGAGGGGCCACTGCATCTGGCCTGAAGAACAATTTTTATAAGGATTATTATTATTTTTTTTTTTGAGACGGAGTTTCACTCTTGTTACCCAGGCTGGAGTGCAGTGGCGCAATCTCGGCTCACCGCAACCTCCGCCTCCTGGGTTCAGGCAATTCTCCTGCCTCAGCCTCCCGAGTACCTGGGATTACAGGCATGCGCCACCATGCCCAGATAATTTTTTGTATCTTTAGTAGAGATGGGGTTTCATGATGTTGACCAGGATGGTCTCGATCTCTTGACCTCGTGATCCACCCGCCTTGGCCTCCCAAAGTGCTGGGATTATAGGCTTGAGCCACTGCGCACGGCCAAGAATTATTTTTAAGGATATTAAGTCATCAAAGTAGATAGAGCCATTAAATGATGGGTAGGAACCTAATCTTCTATCCCAGGTTTTATAACTCATTAAGGAATATAGGTGATCTTGCAGTTGATAATAAATATTTGGTTTTTCCATACTTAGCACTGTTTTGAATGTTTTCAATTCACAGATGTTGTATTTAGTGCTGTTCCAATAGTATTGCAAAAAATAAATCTGGGTCACAGTTATTTCACTGTTAACATTAAAATCTTAAACAGACCTATCTACAACATCTAGTGGAAATACAGTTGTATGGCACATGGTGGTAGGTGCATTATTAAATGAATGCGCAAAAGTTGTATGGCTGTATTTTTCCATAGTCTAGTCATTTACATACTACCTTCATGGTGTTTATCACTTGTGAATGAGTGCAAACTGTACTAGAACTTACTGAATATTTTTCAAGTCTATTTTACTTATTACTCATTCTAAGTACGTAAAATCACTGGTTTGATATGCTAGTTAGGTTTTTGCTAATACCCAATAAAATAATGAGAGAATTATTACAATAACATTTGTCATTATGTGAACTGGATTTATATCATGTACCCCCTCAGGTCACACTTTGGGAAACATATCTTACATGTTGAGCTAACATTTTGCTGGAGTTATATAAGAGTAATAAATGCTGTAGACTAAATATTGGGGGGAAAAAAGCTTGCTGAAGGAGAATTTACATAATTACAGATCTGAAAAGGATCTTAGCAGTCATCTGGTCCATTCATTGATAAAGAAACTAGTCCTAAGAACTAAAGTGATGTGCTCAAGATTTCAGTTAAGTGGTAGACCTAGGAAATGTTTCTAAAATTAGAACTGCCTCTTCAGTGCTGTAGCTGCCACCTAATTCTTAAATGTGGGTTTTAGCATTTATTACGGGACATGCTTTTTAGGGTAGAAAATGTATGTAAAATTGTGAAGGTAATACTAAGGAAATATTTAGGCTATGCTAGGAAAGTCATTCAGCTTTTGCTTTACCCAGGCCTGTAGAGAACATATCTAAAATAGTAAGTAACATGTGAATTTGAATTTAGGCATATTTTCATGGTAGTGACATAGTGTGCAATTAGGAAGCTATAATAACGTACAAATGGCAGTTGAGAGTTACTTCAAATGAGGTTGAATAACCTGACCTCAGGAGGGGCAGAAACCTTAGTAAACTTAGTAAATTGAGACATAAGGAAGAGCAAGATCTGTAGCCAAGTCTCAAGGTTCATATCCTGGTACACACTTGTCTGTACATCACAACACCTGCCAAATAGAACATTTTTTTCCTTCTAGTTCAGATTTCCAAGAAAGGGATATTATTGCCCTAGCTTAGCTCTTCACAATAGACTCAGAAAATGAATCATGCTAAGCCTGTGAATGGGTAAGACTTATCCCATAACATGCCTCCATTGTGCAAAAAAAAAAAAAATCAGCTTTATTCCTGATTCCCCATGGTAGGGAGCTTGCATGGAACACAATAGAGACATTGTTAGGTTAGATCAGGAAGGTGGGTGGCAGACATTCTTGAATATACTGGAATTTTTATTTCATTGCAGAAACGTAGAATCATAATTAGTCATCTAACACTAAAACTTGTTTTAAGGAGGTAATACTAAAGATACTCACTTGATTTAGATTATTCTCAGAATTACTTTAAACAAGTGCTTTAATTCTTGCTCATTCATGAAGCCATAGCCCTGGAAGGGGATATTGAAAAACTTCTCCATCTCCCTTCAATCACATAGGACCATGTTTTTAATTATATTTTAACATTAAACAATTTTATAAAGTTGCAAATATTAATGCTTGGAAAAAAACTCAAACTATACAGCAGAAAATAAAACATGCCCCCTCACCCAAAAGCAGGACTACATTTTAAAGTATGCTACAGTGATCTGTCGAAATATTTTTCTCAAGTATTTTACAAAGAAAGCATATATTCTTCTATCCTTACTTCATAGATCTATCTCTTCCATATCCTGTGCTGCTTGTCTATCATTTTGAGGCTTATATTTCTTACTTTGTTCTTTTGCTGCTTAAATGTGATTCTTTGAGATTTATAGAAGAATGTGATTGTTTTCTGGTTTTATTATTTATTTATTCATTTGTTTGTTTATTTTTGAGATGGAGTTTTGCTCTTGTTACCCAGGCTGGAGTGCAATGGCGCGATCTCGGCTCACCGCAACCTCTGCCTCCTGGGTTCAGGCAATTCTCCTGCCTCAGCCTCCTGAGTAGCTGGGATTACAGGCACACACCACCATGCTCAGCTTATTTTTTGTATTGTTTTAGTAGAGACGGGGTTTCACCATGTTGACCAGGATGGTCTCCACCCGCCTCGGCCTCCCAAAGTGCTGGGGTTACAGGCTTGAGCCACTGCGCCCGGCCGTTTTCTGGTTTTAAAAAGCTCTCCTCTGTCTACTAAAATTTCCATGAATTTCTCTCTTTTTTTTAATTAAATTGAGACAATCTTGCTGTGTTCCCTATGCTGGCCTCAAACTCCTAGGCTTCAGCAATCCTCCTGTCTCAGCCTCCCAAGTAGCTGAAATTCCAAAAATTTCCATCAGTTTATATAAATATGATGTTATCTTTCATATACTAGCTTAAACATAAGCCTTTTTTCTTTCAAAAATTGTAGAACTTGCTTCTCTTTGAACAATAATCTTATAAAGACATTTCTTAATTTTTGTTTCCTTTTCAAATCTATTAACTTGTATGTCATAGTAAATGAACCCTTAGCTCCATCATACCACACACCTCCTACTCCTGTCCTCCCACTTTTTCTCGCTTAGGCTGGAGTGCAGTGAATATTTAGTGATTTTAAATATTATTCACTACCAAGCCAAGTAGTGTACTATTTTACCCTTGTATAGCCTTTTTTTCCCCTAGAGTAAATAATTGTGTTATTTTTTCATTTTTTTCATATTGATTAATAATTCTTTTTCTTTCTTTTTTTTTCTAACTAGAATATCCAGCTTATGATAATTCTTCTTTTCCATTTCAATCTAATTTCCACATGGCCAAACCAATCTAAAAACCTGTTAACTCAGGTCTTTTTTTTTTTTTTCCAGAATACCTTTTCCTGGAACCACCTTCTTCTGTTCATTCAAGACCAGATGCTCTCTATGCCTCTTTCAAAGTGGTTGTTCTCTGATCTGTCTTCACTA